TTCAGTCTGCAGCTTGACTTTTTCTGAAATGCCTGTAATTAGTATCGGTGGTTTTGGGGGTAATTATTCTTGTCTTTTTGAAATAAAATACATACTGAAGTACCATACAAATGCAATCAGATAAAAAAAAAATCCATTCTTTCTATTGAAATTTTAAAATTTGAAGCTTTTTATGATCATTTAAAAATCTCACACCATATATATTTTCTTTTCCTCCCTTACACACCCTGGAATGCCAACAGAAATTCCATTTGGTAGATGTTTTAATTTCAGGAACAATATAGGTACGATTAAATAGGTAATGTGTAATTTGAAAGACTGTATATTACTTTATGTTACTAATAGATATGTAATCAGTTGCTTCCTAAAACTCTGGAAAAGCCCCAATTGTCACTAAAAACTTTCTCTTATTCTGAAAAATCTGTCAGTTTTACATCTAAAAAAAAGTCACAGTTCCATAGCTTTAAATAATTCCCTGAGACTGGAGTTCATCAAAATAACTTCAAAATAATTTGAATAAAGTAGTTCTGAACCTGCTTATAATATCATGTTTGATCTGTTGAATTAATAGGGGGTGGGAAATTTTCAGGTATTATAATAGATTTTATAACAGTTTATTCCAGAACAAAATGTCTTTCTATTCATAGCATTTAAGGAGCCCTGGCAGCAAATGGTTAAGCTCTCAGCTACTAAGTGAAAGTTTGGCAGTTTGAACCCCCTTAGCTGCTCCACAGGATAAAAACCCAGTGATTTGCTTCTGAAAAGATTACAGGCAAGAAGACACTATGGGGCAGTTCTACTCTGTCACATGGGGTCACTACAAGTCAAAATTGACTGGACAACACCCAACAACAACAACAAATACCAAATACTCTCACATAATTTTGAATATTGCTGGCAACTCATACTTTTATGTCTAAGTGGAGAGAATTCTTACCTACAGTAAGACATTGGAGCTCTGGTGGCGCAGTGGTTAAGAGCTCGGCTGCTAACCAAAAGGCTGGAAGTTCGAATCTAACAGTTGCTCCTTGGAAACCCTATGGGACAGTTCTACTCTGTCCTATGGGGTCACTATGAGTCAGAATTGACTTAATGGCAACGGGTTTGGCTTGGTTTTTTATAGTAAGACATCAACTCAGTGAAAGCTAAATGCTATCATTTAAATTCAGTGACTTTCACATTTTTGATAGAGCTCTCTGGGAAGGAGATGCGGGAAGGCATTATCAAGATTGTATGAGGGCCTTACTGATGTCAAATATAGAGGTTGGGACTTGCCATATAGAACAGCTGGATCTGGAGAGTTTTTGTGTCCAGTTCTTTGAAACTCATTGTTGAACAAGGAATGATATAGCTGTTGGGCTGCACTATTGGGACCAATACTGGGAAACAATAAATATTCAAATATATGGTCTGGTCTAGACATTCCCCATTAAAAAATCAATTGCCATCAAGTAGATTCTGACTCATAATGACCCTATAGGACAGAGTAGAACTGCCCCATAGGGTTTCCAAGGTTGTAATCTTTATGGGAGCAGACTGCCACATCTTTCCCTGTGGAGCTGCTGGTGGATTCAAATTGTCAACCTTTTAGTTAGCAGCTGAGAGCTCAACCACTGTGCCACCAGGGCTCCTTAGACATTCTCAGTACCTGCCATATAATCAGTGCCTGATAAATATTTGTTGAAAGAATGCACCTATAAACTTGGACCTTGATTGTACCTTAGGTTTACTCTGCAAGGTTAGTTTGATTTAAATCCATAGGAAACTTAGGATCTATAATTAAATACAAATCTTAATATGTCTTTGCTGTGAGAGATGCAAAATTTTTAACACATAATTTTGAAGTTTGAAATCTAGGTTATCCCAAAACAAGGTTAAATAGGTGTACTTGTCAACACACCTGGGATAAGAAATCCCATATACTTATACGGTTATCTTTGGAGAGTGGTGTAATGGGAAATTAAGTCTGGTCTCTTCCTTTTACTTATATGTATAACCATGAGCATATGATTTTGTTTCCCTGAACCTCTTTTTTTTTTTCAGTCTTTAAAATGCAGATAATACCTACTTCTCTCACAGAAGTGATGGGAGGATCAAATAAGCTAATATATGCGAAAGAATTCTGTAAACTATAAAGTGTTATATAAAGTAAGGCATTACTGGCAAGGAGGCCTGTGGAACTAGGTCAGGCTAGTGTAAAGGGTCATGGTATCAAGGTGCTTAAACCAAGCTACAGGTGAAATCTTAGGTTAACTGCATGAGAAAGTGGCTGTACTTTTAATCTGGGTTTTAAATTTGTTACTGGGATGAGTGAATTCTACAATATTAATAGTTATATGAAGAACCCCTTGCTACTCTTTGTGTCCATCACTAAAACCCAGCTGTAATTAACTAGATCAGTAAAATAAAAAAAGATATTGAGGGACTGATGTAGGGTTGTCAACATGAAGACATCAACAATATCACTGTAAGTTGCCACTATTTCTTAAAAAAAAAAAAAAGATTTTGACACACACACACACAAATCTAGACGATCACAATTTCAGAATAAAGAACAGTCCATCTAAGAAAAGACACTTGGCGCAACCTTACACCAACACCTACGGATTGATGGAAGATCTCTCAATATACATTGTTCTTATTTTTCTCATAACACTGAGGACCAGTGAAAGCATCATTAAAGGCCAGCTACAGTTCCTTGAATTGTCCTTTGAAAACAACTAGAAGATGAACAATAAAGCTGCTTCCACCTTAAGGTTTGGGGGTTCTGTTGGTCTGCTCATCTGTATTTTAGCAACAAACCCCAGCAGCAATGTAATTTTGGTAAACCTGGGCTAGAGTATAACTGCCCTTGCCCTCATTTTTGTCAGTGGAAGAACCATGATATTTTCCCCTTGTAGTATATTGCAATCTCCTCCTTGCTGGTTCAGATAGTTTTTGATTCTCCATCGAAGCCATTTCATTGAGGAGGAAAAAAGAGCTATACCATTACTCCTACCTGAGCCTTCTAGGCATTGAGACAAACTTTAATTAAAAGTAGGACATCTTCAATTAAAGTAGGACATCTGGTTCTTTGGGTGAAGAATGTCTTCTTACTCCTCTAATGTCTAGCACAAGGGACATATATGTACACAAACAATAATTACTGTAAATATTTTAAATTATTTTATACCACCAACTTATCAACAAGAAACCTGAAGGCCACTTGTTGTCCTCTACACTGTCTGTGCTCATACTTAGGATGTGAAACACATCAGTGAAGAAAAAGGTGGCTGATTTGATTATTTTTTAAATATACTTTTAAAACATTTTATTAGCTTTTTAAAAATTGAGGTATAATTTACATACAATAAAATGAATAGATTTTTAAGTATTCTATTTGAGGAGTTTGACAACTATATACATTTGTGTCACAACCACCCAGAAAAATATATAGAACATTATTCTAGAACATTCCTTTGTGCTATTTTCCAGTCATTACATAATCCCTGCCAGAGATAATCAATTTTAATTTCTAATAACATAGATTAATGTTTCCTATTCATATAAATGAAATAATACAATACACATTCTTTTGCGTCAGTCTGCTTTTTCTCAACATAAAGTTTTAAGATTTATCCACATTGTTCAAGGTTTCAGTAGTTCAGTTCCATCTTATTGCTTATAAAACTATCTATTTCCCTGTTTCTGAAAATATAAAGAACGACAAATCAATAATAGCAACAACAACAACAAAAAGCATAAATAACCCGAACTATTATTATTACAAGTAAGATTGCTATGAAATTCTTGGGCATGTCTTTTTTTAAAATAAACATATCTTTCTCTTAGGTAAATACATAGAAGTGGAATTGTCAGGGTAGATGTACTTTATAAGAAAGTGCCAGATAGTGCTACATAATGGTTGTACCATTTTACACTTCCCCCGATAATGCATGACGACTCTATTTGCTCTGTATCCTTGTCAACATTTGGTATTGTCAATCTTTATGATTTTAGCTATTCTAGTAGATACAAAGCGGTATCTCATTGGGATTTTAATTTGCATTTTCCTGAGGTCTAACGGTTTTGAACAACTTTTCATGTACTTATTGACCAATTCTATACCTTTTCTTGTCAAGTGTCCAAGTCATTTGCTATTTTTTTATTGGGTTGTTTGCCTTTTTCATATTGATTTGTAAGAGTTGTTTGTATTTTCTGGTTTTAGACCTTTATCAGATACATGATTTGAGAATAGCTTTTCTCAAATGTGGTTTGCCCATTCATTTTCTGATGGTGTCTTTAGACGAGCATAACTTTCTAAATTTGATGAAGTGAATGATCTGACTGATATTTGCCAGAGACTTCTCCAGTCTCAATTGCCAGCCACGGAACATATTAATCTAATTGCACTGTTTGGATAATATCCAGGTTGGCCAAAAGGAGGATCAGGGACAGTCACACATGCATTTTTAAAGTCCTTATGGCCTAGATAAGCATTGTTGCCATTATCTGACCACAGGTTTTTGTTCATTGAGTGTTCTGTTACCCAAGGAGCCTTTGTCCAACTTGTCTAGCTTCATAATCATCAGTGCTAACCACAACGCTAAAAGGCCTTTCATTACTATGTATTTTCAAATCACTTGGAAGGAATCCCTATCTCATAAAAAAGTTATTAGAACCTGCAAGCCTGCTGACTCAGATAAGTTCCTTCTGACTTTCTCCAAAACACTGAGATAGAAAGGCAAAAAATTAGAATTGTGTCAACGGCATGCTTTAAAAGATAAGAACTAAATCAGAATACATTATCAAGATCAGTTCCGAATCCATTCTGAACTGCAGAACTCCTTCTGGGTTCCTAAAACAAAGCCTGGCACATATTAGGCACTCAGTGCTTGTTGAATGAATGAAGCCATTCCAAAGTTCCATGAGAAAATAGAGACATAGTAGAAAACATATTTACACATGGAAAAATAAAACCGAGAAGAAGCATCAATCAAATGTGAAATAGGGTTTCTTACTGTTCCCTGCAAGCTTGAGCAGCTGCAGTCCAGGTATGTTTCTGCTCCATGATCAAGGAGTGGCAGTAGCCTGAGTGATGGTGCCACCCAGCTGGGCAGGACTTGTCTTCCACCTCCTGAAAAGCAGTGTCCATGTCCACATCATAACGAACTTTATAACCCACGGTCTGCTTTCAGCATAAGGAGTCCTATCAGTTCCCTACCTTGAATAGAGTCATTTTGGCCACCAGATATGGGGTCAGTCCTAATCCCAATTCTCCACAAAATGCAATGGCTTTTTACAGAGAACACTATCAAGTTCAGCAATGCTTCCATTTTACACCTCAACAATATAATAGTTTTTAAAAGAACAAAGTAAAGTGGGAAAATGCAGAACAGAATTTCAAATTCTCGTGGAATCCAGACTTTCTGGAACCATGGAGGCTGGATGGACCTCTAAAACTAGTGCCCTGTGATAATCTTTAAACCTTAAACCAAAAATATCCCCTAAAGTCTTTTAAACCAAACCATAGTTTAGCTTAATTAGCAAAGAATGTCTGCCTTGACCATTGTGCTCTTTTAAAGAAATACCTACATGGGGTCAAATTGATAACAGCAACTTGAGAGTTTAGATAGGAAGCTCAGGGGCAGCAAGTTTATGTTAATGAGGGAGAAGCAATTTGGAAAAGAAGGGTAAGAATGGTTGCACAACTTGAGAATGTAATCAGTGTTATGAATTGTACATGTAGAAACTGTTGGTCTATGTTCTGCTGTGTATAGTCGCAACAACAAAAAAAATTAAATTAAAAAATAATAAGTAAACATCTTCTTAAATTGTACTGATTTAACTAATACATTTTATGATTTTTAAAAACTTGATTTGGGCCATTTTCCCTCTGTGTCTTCAAGGTGTTATAAGGACATGCAGAGGTAGCATGAGTTGACAGTGATATACCAGGTTGTCCCCTCTCTATTGGCTTATCATAGGAGACACTGCTGGTAAAGGTACTTGGCTCTCAGCCTGTGTCCCACCTTGGTTCGGGGGCTCCAGGCTTTCCAGGCAGTCCCATTGCACTGATACAGCTTTTGGAAGCTTTCTTCAAAATAGAGGAGTCCCCTTAATTCCAGAGTACAGTTCTTTGGAAATGAGGGCAACTGGTCCTAAGGGAAGGAAACGCAATTTAGAACTGACTTAAATGCAAGTTGATCACACACTTATCTCTTTGGAGTTTTCATTTGTTGGGTAGCATTTGTGTTGAATAAACTGTCCCCAACACTCGGAGGCTATTTTGTGTGTTTATGGCCCAACAAACAGCTTGTTTTAAGGTGAGTAGGAAGTAAAAAGATTTCCATACCTGTCTGGGGAAGTGTGAGTCAGTTGTGGATTCCACCTTATCTGCTTGAGGCAGTTCTGCCACTTGGATCGTCTTTTGTGGCCAACTGATGACGGAGACTTCGGCTTTCTGTTTGTGAGCTGAGGAACTGTCATCCTCCAGTTTCAGGGAAACCGTCCCATGATACTTGAGGAAACCAACAAACAGTAACAATAAGGAAAAACAAACACTAAGATGGCAAAGAAAAAAATTTGTGGTAAAGATGAGCAATTCTAAAATTGGATCAAAGCAAAAAGATGAAAGTTTCCTTCTGACCACTGAATCCTCTAAAAAAAAATTTCAAAACAAGTTTTCAGGAGAAATATATAAATATGAAAGCGATGAAATTGTTTCTATAAATATTCTGTATCTATAAATACAAGGAAATTAGCAATCCCCTCAAACTATGCTTACATTATAAATGATGTCTGTTCCATTTCTATAAACAGAGGAGGGATGAATCTGAAATCAACAGAAAACAAACTATGATTAGGCTTTCTCTTAGTGACAAGACTGAACTGGCTTGAGGAATATTTAGCAATAATGTAAAAACCTTCCAGCAAAATCTTGTTAATATCTGAAAAATTTTAAAATCTATCTTTATTAAGATTCTCCATGTCCAAATCATTAGAATTTTATAAATTGCTAGCTCTAATCACAATGTATCAATGTTGGTTTCTGCATTAACAGTCCTAAAAAATAACCAAACTTGCTGCCGTCAAACTGCCTGATAGGGTTTCCAAGGCTATAAATCTTTACGGAGGCAGACTGCCGCATCATTCTTCTCAAGTGCCTAGACAACCACCGACCTTTCGGTTACTAGTTCAGTGCTTTAACCAGGGCACTGCCAGGGCTCCTATTAACAATCCCAGTTAGGGAGAAAAGACATTCTTACTTTTTTGATACATCTGTATACACAGGAGTCCTGGTGGTGCAGTGGTTAAGAGCTTGACTGCTAACCAAAAGGTTGGCAGTTCAAACCCACAAGCTGCTCCTTGCAAACCCTATGGGGCAATTCTATTCTGTCCTATAGGGTCACTATGAGTCAGAATCAACTCAATGGCAACAGGTTTGGCAACAGGTTTGGTCTTTTTTGTTGTTATAGTACAGAGAAGCCCTGGTGACACAGTGGCGAAGTGCTTTGCTCCTGATTGAAAGGTGGGTGGTTCGAACCCACCAGCTGCTCCATGGGAGAAAGATGTGGCAGTCTGCTTCTGTAAAGATTATAGCCTTGGAAACCTTCTGGGGCAGTTCTACTCTGTCCTATGAGGTACCTATGAGTTGGAATCGACTTGACAGTAATGGGTTTGTAGTACACAGAGGTCCAAGAAAACACACACACACACACACACATATACACACATATACAAGCATAGACACACATGCACATACAGACATATGCATACGTTCACACCCACACACATATACATCCATTCACACATACACATTCACACACTCACACACATTCACACACCCATACACATTCACACTCATGCACATACACACATGTGCACACACACTCATGAGCCTGTGCTTGGTTAGAATGGTGTGCTAATAAGGTCAGAGCCATGGCTTTCACATTCAAGTGGATTGCTTAATCTCACTCTAATCCAGAGTTACTGGTCATTCCCTATCTGTCTTGGTTACAAAGGAACCAAGGGAGAAATTATGTGTATGAATTAATATATCTATCATCTCAATTAGTATAACTAATGAAGTGAGGACAGCATCACATCTTTGTATACAAAAGGCAATGCATGGCTATAAAGGGATCATGGCCCCCACTCACTATGAGAGTCAAAACAGCTTTGTCAGTATTTCAGAGAATTTATTAATATCTTTTGATTCTTTTAACATGTACTAAACACACTGGGAGCCCTGGTGGCACTGTGGTTAAGCATTGGGCTGCTAACCAAAAGGTGGGCAGTTCAAATCTATCAGTTGCTCCATGGAAACCCTATGCGGCAATTCTATTCTGTCCTATAGGTCACTATGAGTCGGAATCAACTTAACAGCAATGGGTTTAGTTTTGGGGTTTAAACACATCAACTCCCAGAAGTCCCCAGCTCTTACTGTTCTGACATTCCCACGGGGCCTAAGCCTCATTCGAGAAAGATCCATAGACTCAAATCCCCACGGGCTCTCTCCTCTGGTGACTGCTAGTCTCGTAGAAGATGGAAGTTTTCTTTCCAGATGAAAGGAACCAGAAGTGGTGGGTGAGGAAGACCCTGGGGGCAGCGGACGCCAAATGCCCTTCTCCCATGCGTTGTGCTTGTTTTGGTTGAGGGAATATGAACGATGGCACTGTCCTGGAGGCACGCAAGATGGCAGGGTCAGTTCATTTTACACAAACAGATAAGTGATCACATCGACACGGCCCCTGGAGCAGCTTGTCATTAAACTTAGATGGATGGTTTTCCTACCAGATGTTGCCTGGTTGCCATTTGCCAGAAGCTCCTTTATTCTTCATCAGTTTCCCTCTGGGAAAGCTGTGCCCTTCTGCACATCTACAGGGTGATTATAAAGTCATGCAATTGATTGCACAAACCACGAATGGAAATCATTGTCAAGATTTTATAATCGTACCATATACTTGGGAAACAGCCTGACTTCTTTTCCTATTACAGTGCTCCTCAATATACCAGGTTTATATACTGATCAAGTATCATTCCACAAGCACTGCAAGGTATCCAGTCCTCTCCCTGGTCTCCTAGAGGCAGAAGCTGGGATTGTTTAAAGATGTCAGTGAAACCAAGTGCCAGTTTTAAAAATGAGCACTCAACTCTTACAGACCAAAGACCTAGTAAATCTCAGTGGAGCTGCTTGTGTTGGAAACCTAGCTAAGTATTATTTCTGGGAAGGTATGCAAAAAAATCTAAGATTAGAACCCTCCTCTGGTATTTCACACTTCACGTGTAAAGCGTGTACTTCATGTACTTTATGCCCTTCATGGGATCAGAAATTTCTGCTAGGAAAGAAATTAATTTGGTAAGGAAAGGTAGTGGGGAGAGATGTGCAAATATGCATATTATAAGGAAAGAGGAGAGTGCTAATTTTTATTACAGAGTGAGAAAGAGAAGAGGTGATAATAGACTCCAGATAAGGAGCAAATATGGACCACAGGGCATGACAGGTGTGAAAATGGGGGTATAAGAGTGAGCCTGGTAACAGAACACTTGTCAAATGCTCAACAGACAAATAACTATAGGGTGTTTGGCAGGAAAAAATATCAGAGCCACCAAGGACTTTGGCTGGTCTTTATTTTGTTTAGTTCACAGGTTGTTCATTAGGATACACTACCCAGGACCTGTTTGGCTCTGCAGCCCAAAGTCATTCATTAATATGCTCCAGCTGCTCCTGAATGCCCAGGCCAGCTGTGTCTTTCACATCTATTTTTCTCCAATTCCTTCCTCTCTTAGAATTTGTCTGGTCACACTGCAGTGGGGGCTTGGATTTTAGGCATTGAGAGCTCCCTGTAACAGAGGAAGATAATTACAGCCCTACTACCTCGGGAATGGGGGGTGGGGGAGGGAATAATTGTCGATAGATTCTCACCAACATTGTTTTCCTCTCGGTGAGAACAACAAACGGGGAGGGAAAAAAACAACTACGGCGCTGACTTGTTGCTTTTCTCAAGCGAGAGTTCTTAGCAGGAGGAAAACCACAGGAAGCAGAAAGCAGAATAAAGGGTCTACATCAGGATGAAGGTGGCTTTCTTGACAAGAAATTAAGTATTTTGATCTGAAGGCATTATCAAGCACGTTGGCTGTTGAAAGCAAGCAGCTACAGTGCCAGGGCTGCTCCTGATTTCAAGATGAGGATCAAAAGAATACCTCCTTTTGAGTCCAAAATTTTCACTGCAGCTTTTGTCTTTCTGCCAAGAACTGCATTCACGGGGGAGTTCAGAATTACTTCAAAGACCTCATCATCTTCCTCTAATCCGTCATAGGTAATTGCTATATTCCACATCTTAGCTGACATTCCTACAAGAAGTAAACATTTTAATTACTCTTTAATTGCTATTTCAATCACCTAGGTGTCAGAGAAATATATTAATTAACATGTCTACAGCTAGACTGCAGTAGCCTGAGTGAGCTATTGTACTGCAACCAACCGCCTGAAGTCCCGCTGTTCTTCCAAATAACTTTAAAAGACCACACTTGTTCCTGGACAATGATGATTCCGTTTAAATGCAAACACTGTAACAAAAACGTACGCTGCATTATTCAAGGGATGAAAAAAAAGAGGGGTTAGTAGATGAGATCCAAGATTTAATTTTTTCCTGACCTGCCCCTTCTCAAGAATAAACAAGTACTGCAATCTTAAAATCTTAATACTTCAAAAATCTTAAGACGTTGATGCAGCAGTTAGGAGTGATTATTGGATGGTACTTCGTGCTATTCATGGAACCCTTGAAATGATGGATTTCTAAAGACAGCTGCCTCCATCGGCTGCCTACTTCCTGAAATGTCTCTAGCTGAAAAATGCTTTTTCTGATGAGGTAATACCCAGTAGTTTGATATCCGCCTAAAGAGAATTTATGGGCGGGGTTTCTAGAAATAGACTGAGCCTTTTTTATTCTTTATATCTGCCTCTATTCATGGAGTTATAATCAAGCTTGGTTCACGTAATTTTGTGAACTTAATACGTAACAGTTCTGACGTCATGAACATATCCCCAGCCAGCCATCACTGCTAAGATGGGAAGCAAAGCAACCCCAGAAACAGAAAATTTTAAGACTGGAAGGGACCTATGAGATTGCCTAATCCTGACCATTTTCCACAGTCTGAATTACAGGGCATCCTCCTGAGTTTATTTAGAAGAGAACATGGTGGCAGAAGTACTGTTTGGGGGAGAAAGAAGGCACAAGTTTAAGAGGGGGAAAAGGTCAGTAAACTTATGGTTTAACCACCTAGGGCTGAGTTTTGAAAACCGTACTCTACCATTTAGTCATTGATTATTTGCGCGTGCTTTTACTCCCATAAACTCCTATACATGGGCAGTTAAAAAACCAAACCAAACCAACTGCTGTCTGACTCATGGTGGCCCATATGTGTCAGAGGAGAACTATGCTCCACAAGGTTTTCAAGGACGTGAACTTTCAGAAGCAGATCACCAGGCTTTTATTCTGAGGAGCCTTTGCGTGGGTTCCAACCGCCAACCTTTCGGTTAGTAGTTGAGCATTTAACCATTTGTGCCACACAGGAACTCCATAAAGGTGTTCAAACATTCTTTTTTCCTAGCCTTCTTTTCTGAAAATTTATACTCTTTTGTTTTTGCAGATACCTTCTGCAGATTTATGCCTCTCAACTTTACCATCTCTATGATGGCCTCTTTTTTGAAAGTATGCCTCATATAGATCTCATGATCTAATCAAGATCTCATTGATAACCAACAAAATCCAATGGAAAGATGAACCTGTTTCCTCTGATCATACTCTTGGCTACACATAGGTATATTTCAAATAGTAAGTTTAACAGCTAATTTGTTAAACTTTGAGTACCAATTGACTTCTTAAATCAATTACTTTCACAATCTTTGCAAAAATAGAAGTTGAAGCTCTGTAATTATATACTATATAATTCCCATCTCATGGTTGACAGAATCAATCCATCAAAATATATATTTTGCACCTACTATGTACTTACCTTGCATTAGGTGCTATGGAGAATACCAAGAAGTGTAACATCAGCTAAGCCCTCACCTAAAGGACTTTAAAATGTCATTGAGCAGACAATACGTAAATACTAGAAAAATCAAACAATTATTTAAGGCTGTACATGACTAGCTGCCAAAAGATATGGCCAGTAAAAAAACAAACAAAAAACAGTTGCCATTGAGTCGACTCTGACTCAAGGTGGGTGATCCTATGTGTGTGAGACTAGAATTGTGCTCTTTAGGGTTTTCAACTGCTGATTTTTTGGAAGTAAATTGTTAGGCCTCTCTTCTAAGATGCATCTGGGTGAACTCGAAACTCTAACCTTTCAGTTAGCAGCTGAGCGTGTTAACTGTTTGTACCATCCAGGGATTCCAAAAGATATAGACTGTATAGTAGATACTATATGTATTCAGGGAAAGAAGAGGGCATTTGAGGCTCCAGAGTGGGAAGGATTTGGAGGGGGAAATGGGAAAATAACATGAGCCAAGGCAGGAAGATAGCACTGGAGAGGCCTTGATCAGGGAACGGCGAGTAGATTAGCTGGTTGGCATAGTGAGGTCACATCGGTGGGCAGGAGGTGCTAAGGCTACAAAAGCAGTTTGTATCCAGATGGCAGAGAGCCCTGGAAACCAGATGGCTGGATTCAGACTTTAAACCAGAGGTAATGGGGAACTCTCTTGAATGAAGTGACATGCTGAAAGTGGACAATTGGAAGAATAAACCAGAGTACGTTACGTCAGATGACTTGGCAGCGTAGGCAGATGGGGAGAGAGTCTAGAAGTTGGGAGACCACATAGGCAGCTGTTGCAATAAAACTGGCATGAAGAGATACGGGCTGGACAACGAAGAATGTCTATAAATACTAAGATTTCCAGTACTCAGAGAACCATTTTGATCCCTAAAACTCAAAGTAAGCATTATTCAAATAGAAATCCAATACCAAGAAATATTTCCCAGCCCTCAACTAATTGCCCTCTTATTCTAAGCATCACGTGGGAAAAAAAAATTATAGTACCAAAACCAAAACAGCAACAAAACTTTTTGTTTGTTTGGGTCCTATGGAGTAGAACCAGGTGGTTAGAGAAGATCTACTCCAAGTTTCATTTAAGTGATCTGTCTGTCTGCATTTCAGCTTCACTTCTGTGTCTACCAGGTGTGCACACACGACCATTTTTTTTAGGTTAATGAGATCGGAAGTAAGAACTTTCTTGTTTTTTTTCCTTCCGCTCCCACTTTCAAGGTGCAAAGTATTTGTTAAGACACTGAGATATGAAAGCAGTTTCAGAAGGCTTGAACTGACCTCATCTTCCCGCAAAACAAAAGGTGCTGAAGAGGAGAGAGGAAGTGACATTTTATGCAGACATATCCACTTTACAGGATAGGCTAATTCCTGGATATCTTCCTGCAAAACAGATCTCTCTACTGAAAGACATTTTCTCAATGTTTCTTAGTAAACGCCACACTAGTGATCTGTTCTACTGGAAAACATCTTGACGCTGAGGAATGATAAAATCCTAATTAAGTATGCAGCAAGTCTTTCAAGAACACATATTTTTAAGGAAAACAATCATTTTCTTAAGGATATTTACACTTCCACTCACATAAATCACAACAGCTGAATGCAAGGTAGTTAGGATTAGCTTTCGGTTTCGCACAATACCTGCAAGGCAAGCTTACTTGGGTATAACTTACTAGACTAGAAAGTCACTCAGCATCTCCCAGCTCCCCTCAAGAGTTTCCCAAATGCATAATATCCCAGAGACTTTGATTGCTCACTATTTCTTTGCCGATCATGGAAGCTGCTGTTTTTTAAAGAAGTGAACAGACTTCTCTGGGCAAAAGGGAGGAGGAACACCAGACCCAAAAGAGGCAAGGATTCACAATATGAAACAATAAAACAATAAATATTTACAGGACCTGTGGACATGGGGAACTTGGAAATTCTCTAAAGCAAGACTTTACTTGATGAAACTCTTTCTGGCTAATAAATTCTAAAACAATAAACAACCAAGTGGGTTTTTTTTAATAAAGTTATAAGGTATGCTTATAATATTTCCTAAAAAGTCTAAATAATCTCTAAATCATAAGACTATTTAGCGCCCCCAAAAGTCATTAGTATCTACTCAAACAGCATACAAACTCTCCTAGACAAACAGGTATTTATCTTATCCAGCGGAATCTCAAGGAGGTAGATTCAGAGCCTCCCCTAGTTGCGATACATTCTAGTTCCTATCGATCCAAACAGAGCACCTGGTGGGCTGCCCCAAACCTACTAGAAGCCAAAATCACTCCTGATCTTGTGACAAAAAGACCTCATGTAATAAAGATAACATATGGCAGAGACGCTTGACCATCAGAAAGTGAGGGAACTGGAACTGCCTTAACATGAAGTACAGAAAAGTACATGGTGCCAATGCACTGAACCCTTTCATCTCAGGGTTGAACAGAACATAAGAGCCCGTAGCAACCACAGGGTAAACCAAATACATAAAGGGAATAGCTCTTCCCACAATGTGGTCAGCCTGAGGAACTGACTTAAGCAAATCAGAAAGTCAAATACCATAGGAAAGAGGCTGATAACAGTAAGGGGTTGATGCATGTGAAATTTAAGGCTCATCACATGTCATGCTACTTGTGGTGAACTACAGAAAGGCATTTCTTTTTCTATGTTTAATGCTATGGCTGTCAATTCTCAGGTCACTTTGTTTTGTCTTTAAGGAGCCCTGGTGGTGCAGTGGTTAAAGCACCCAGCTGCTAACCAAAAGGTAGCTGTTTGAACCCACCAGCTGCTCCGCGGAAGGAAAACGTGGCAGTCTGCTTCCCTAAAGATTTACAGCCTTTGAAACCCTAAAGGGCAGTTCTACTCTGTCCTATAGGGTCACTCTGAGTTGGATTCAGCTCAACAGCAGTGGTTTGGTTTTTAGTTTGGTTTTGCCTTTGTCTGAAACATGTTAAAGTGGCAAGCATTTAGGCTTGGTGGAATGCTCTCAGAGTACACAAAGTCTCCTTTGCAGGAAAGCACAAAGCCACGAGCCCTGGCTCCTTCTCGAAGTCTTTTCCATTTGCCTCTGGACTGGTGATCCCAGACCATCCCAGGCATAGGAAGAGAAAGCCATGCAGTGCCGTGATGTAGAGCTACCTGCCCCCATTCATAGGAGCCAGGAAAGAAGTTGTGGCTCCAGCCTCAGGGATCTTACCACAGTCCCCAAACGGTGTGTGAGTGCTTTTGTGTTCAGCCTTCAGACTGCAGTTCCCTTCTTTTGCTCCTAGCAGCTTAGAATGCCACCTCCCCTGGGGAGCCTTCCAGGTTTTTCCTTAGCCAGAATAACAGCTCATACTTTGATCCCAACGTACCATTAGTGAGTTGTTTTTATGTCACTATTCCCCACAAGATGGAACATCCTTGAGAGCAGGCACCATACTTTTGTATTCCCTACACCTAGCAAAAATTTTTCACAAATTTAAAGCAAAATATATGCTATTGAATTAAGTAATATTTTCCCCTGGAGTCTCCTCCTATGATCCTACACCAAGAGGGATTATTCAGAAATGCCCTTTAGAACCTATATGAATATAAGATTTTAAAAATTTCCATGAGGCAATTATTTTTTTCTGGATTTTTTGACGGTTGTTTTGATATTTTAGAAATTTGTCATTTGTTATGATTTTTCTTCTCATTTTAAATGAGTCTTCCCTTGAAATAAAAAATATGAGGCACAGACTGGGAGAAAATATTTGTAAAACAAATATCCGATAAAGGATTTGTATCCAAAATATACAAAACTTTTGCAACTCAGTAATAAGAAAACAACCATTTATAAAATGGGCATAAAATCTGAAAAGACACTTTACCAAAGCAGATATGCAGATGGCAAGTAAACATATGAAAAGATGCTCAACATTATGCCATTAGGGAATTGCAAACTAAAACAACGATAAGATACAACCACACATTTATTAGAATGGCTAAAATCCAAAACACTGACAACACCAAATGCTGGTGAGGATGTGGAGCAACAGGAACTCTCATTCATTGCTGGTGGGAATGCAAAATGATACAGCCACTTTGGATTACAGGCTGGTAGTTTTTTACAAAGCTAAACATAGGTTGGGTATATCATATGATACAGCAAGCATACTCCTAGGTATTTACCCAAATAAGTTGAAAACGTATGTCCACAAAAAAACTGCATGCAAATGTTTATAGCAACTGCATTCATAATTGCCAAAAATTGGAAGCAACCAAGACATCCTTCAATAGGTGAATATATAAACAAACTGGTACAACCATACAATGAAGTATTTTTCAGTTATAAAAGAAATGAGCTATCAAGCTATAAAACGGTGTTAAGGAACCTTGAAGGCATATTGCTAAGTGAAAGAAGCCAGTCTGAAAAAGCCACATACTGTGTGATGTCAATTATATGACCTTCTGGGAAAGGCAAAACTATAGAGATAGTAAAAAGATCAGGGTTCAGAGGGATGGGCTGGGGAGGGTTGAACAGGTGGAGTACAGGGCACTTTTAGGGCTGTGAAACTACTCTGCATGATGCTGTGATGGTGGACACATGACACTATGCATCTGTCAAAACCCACGGGCTGTACAAGGCAAAGAGTGAGCCCGACCACAAATGTACCGCAGGAATGCAGATGTTAGTAACGGCAAACAGGGGAGAGGGGGTAGATGGGATCTCTGCACCTTCTGCACAATTTTTCTGTAAACCTAACACTGCTCTGAAAAAAAAATAGTCTATTTAAATGAAAAAAAAAAAAAAAATACAAGGGACAAAATCTCAAGTCCAAACTCCTCTCTCTCTCTCTTTCTCGAAGAGGAATGATACAGTTCCCTGAGGAGTTTCTAGTTGGCTGAAGTTACACTATATTCCTATCTTCTCTATGATCCCCAGAGTTTCCTGCAAAAACATAAAACAAACTGTAGATACAAATGTACCTGGGTCAAACTGAATCAGCTTAGATGGAGTCACAGTGAAATCTTTTCCGACTGTAGCTGACACTGGGTTGACCTAAAGAGGAGGAAAATGTCTTTTTTTAATAAAAGTAAATATTGTATAACAGAGAAACATCTAGTCGCTCCATCATTATACTAGACTAAACTCATACTCTTACGTCTGTTTTTAATACAGTGTTTTTTTTGTTGTTGTTGTTGTTGTCATAAACCATTTTAGAGCCATGCTATACGATCTTCCTTAAAGATAGCTTTCTGCTAGACTATGAGAGAGTAAAACTTTTTTGCTTCTCTTTTATAAATGATTCAGTTAGTGGAGAATATCACATGAATTTTAAACAATATTTCTCTCTTTGTTTTAAGCAAAATTTGATTTCATTGCCTTCCCTCCATCCCAACCTGGCTTTAAGATAGTACCTTGCAGGAAAGGGGGCAGGAGAAGAAGAGAAGAAAAGGCCAAAGCTCTTGACCACCTGTGTGCTGACCCACCAGGACAGGTATTATACCAGCTCTGAGTGTCCTGCAAACTCCAGGGTGCTGAAAGCCTTCAGACTAGATTAACTAAACCAAGTCTGGTCCGTTTCCGTGTCTGGATGAAACCATCACTCTTCACGGACATGAATGAGGGCTTTGGGGGATTGACAGACATGGTGAACAACCAAGCAAAGGCAATCCACATCCAGAACCAAGGGCTTAAGAGGCTCCCATCAAGTGAACTGTAAAAAATTGCCCTCGTCTAAAGAGGCTATTGGAGCCCTGGTGGCACAGTGGTTAAGAGCTCAGCTGTTAACCAGAAGGTCGGCAGTTCGAATTCACCAGCCGCTCCTTGGAAACCATGTGGGGGCAGTTCTACTCTGGCCTATAGGGTTGCTATGAGTGGGAATCAACTTGATGGCAGTGAGTTTTTTTTTTTTTTTTTAAGAGGCTATTGACTGCTTCCCTGCTGTCCCACTCCAGAGCTAAAAAAACCAAAGACGTGGTTAAAGGAATCAGTTGCCATAACTTACCCCAGAGGGTGCCTAAAAAATGCATTAAATACAGTGGCTTTGACTAGTTTGAAAGACGTCATTGAATGAGAACCTTTATAAGTACAATGTTGTTGTCGCATGCTGTCAAGTAGATGCCAGCTCATAGCATCTTCGTATGACAGAGTAGAACTGCCTCATAGGGTTTACTAGGCTGTAATCTTTATGGAAGCAGATTGCCAGGTCTTTCTCCTGCACAGCTGCTGATAGGTTCAAACTGTCTTTCGGTTAGCAGCTGAATGCTTTAATCATTGTGCCACCAGGGCTCCTTTGTAAGCACAAAAGGCAGTTTAAGAAGTTTGGGAAAGTGGGTTAATATGTTTCTTTACGTTATTAAAAAAGAATGAAGTACACTATTGAAAACTTAAAAATTCCCACATCTATGGCCTTAGACACCATCTCCATTTCAAATCAAAGGTCTTGAAGAGCTACTAATGGGCCTACAGTGGAAGCATTTTGCTGAAGAAGGATATTACCTCCTAAGCTTCCACGTGCTCTCTGTCTACAATGTCAAGGCTCCTCCTGCACAGCCTCTCATTGTGAGAAGGCAGTCCATTGTACACCCGTACCCACCATATGCTGGAAGCTCCATTTCCCCACATGCTTCTTGCACTTGCAATTGGCTAGTATTTAGCACCACTGAGTTTACAGAATCCTATGTGGGAAAGGGAATGGTGTGAGGCAAGGGGGTTGGAGAAATCTGTCGGGTGAAGGTGCATGATTCAAACCAGCACAGACAGCATAGGCAAAAGTGTCTTCTCTTTTCCCTGCCCCAGTCAAGTAGCCAATAAGCTCTTGTGTAAAAAAGGCAAGTTGTGCTCTGGCTAGAGTTGTCCCTGGAAGACTCAGGGACTCCGCTTGATGAAGGTATGCACACTCAGCTGGCAGGTTTATGGTGTGCATTCTGCTTAGGTAGACAAAAAGTTCCATGTAACACCACACATGCTCTTTCCACCTGGCAAGGTGAATGGTCGTGTGGCCCAAAACTCCAGACTGGAGCATATGGTGCTTTCTATGGAGGACCAGAGGGTTATTAGACAACCACCCAGGCAGATTATTTCTTTTTCCATTAACAATCTGTTGGACAATTATAGGGCATACCAAGTTCTCTGTTGTTTTAATAACAATAGGGCACCAACAGATCTGGGGGAAAGAGTCTATGTCGGCTGGAAAGATAAGTACCAAATCTGGACATCACAGAATTTAGATGCATAAGGTTCTAAGAGTGATTTGAATTTATTATTATAATTCAGACTAAACAAGATGCCACATTTCCCAGAAGACAATGTCAGTGTCTATTTCATTGGCTTGAGGAGGGGAATCTTTAAGGCTCATCGTCTCTTGTTAGTGTGTCCAGGCTTTCCACACTCTCATTTTCTCGAAGTGCCATTGTTATTTACCAGTTGCCATCGAGTTGACTCCAACTCATGGTAACCCCATGTGTGGCAGAGTAGAACAGTGCTCTATAGGGTTTTTAATGGTTTATTTTTTGGAAGTAGATCACCAGGGCTTTCTTCCAAAGTGTTTCTGGGTGGACTGGAACCTACAACTTTTTGGTTAGCAGCTGAGTGCGTTAACTGCTTATACCACCCAGGGCTATTGTTCGAGTGACTCCTAAAAATATCCATCAATTCTAGAAGCCACAGTCTGTTCTCAATGGTTCATGTGAATGGAAAGGAAAAGTGAGTTGACTAATCCAAAAGAGAAGATTACTTGAATATTCTTTATGATTTGTGGTGCCTGTGTTGATTATATTCTCCTAATTTTGCATGACTTGGGATACTTTTAACATAGGATTTAAGTCTCCTGATTTACCTAATCTACTGATACCAGGGGAAGTGATCTTGGCCCATACTAAAGAAACTATCTGGGGACTGAACTTTTCTCTGAGTACCCCACAAAGGAGACACATCTTGATGAATCTCTTGCATACAACTTCTCTTTCCAAAGCAGAGTTTTCACTAGGTTGGATATATCTTCCTGTGAAATAAAGCCTCACAATTTAGATTGTTTATAGAAACAAATAACCATATTTAAAAACTAAAAGTTGGTTTTAAAAAAACATATCTAGGAGGTAGTGTACATAGATGAAGGATGGAGGGACAAGAGGATTTTGAACTTAGAATCTTCAGAATATTGTGACACCTCTGGAGTTTGACATTTCCTTGGTCACTCTGACTCTTTCTAAGAAAATAATCGATGGCACCAACAAGTAATGTAATTTTGAATTTGACAATTTACATTTGAGAGTTATTACCTTCACACTCACAAAGGCTGAGTCCATGGAGTATCCCTTTCTGGTGATTTCCAAGGGCAACAAGCCCACATTCTCACAGACCTCATACTCAGTCTGTGACCATTCAATATGAGACCACTTCAATTCCAAACTGTGCATGAAAGAAAAAGAAAACGGAAAATTACAAGTAAAGCATAGAAAATGCCTTTAGGGATTTTCTGCTGACTAGGAGACTGAGCCACTGACTTACATCATGGTGGCGAGGTAGTTCATCACCCTATACCAATGATAAAAATTCCTTAAAATTGTTTGGTACATTTCAGTTCACAAAGAACTTTTACTAACATCTCATTCAATCCTTATGACAGCCCTATGAGGTAGGCTGGGCAAATATTAGAATTCCATTTTACAAATGGAGAAGCTAAGATTAAAAGACCTGCTCAAGGTCCTACAGTTATTAATGACAAAAAGAAAAAAGAAAAGAAAAAGAGACGCAAGTGTGAGCGTTCTGAAGGGAGAAGAAGCAGAAGTTTTTAAGTTCAAAGAAACAATCATTTTTGGGAACGCATTGATATGGAATCTCATCTCTTACTTTCTGGGCTTCCTTGTTAGTGTTCCAGCCACAGATCTTCCTGAACATGGTTCAGTTTACTATTATAACAAGCCATCCTTGCAGATGTGCCTAGGAATTAAAATGTATATGTGTCTTGTAACCATTATCTGGTCCTCTTCCTGTGCATATAAAATGTGGCTTAGATGCAGCTACACAACTGAATAAACCTGATACATAGAGGGTGGTCTTCTTCCCACAATATAGTGAGCCCAACATTTGATGAACACTGTTTTATTTAATTTCCATGTCAAGAGGACCTTTCTTTCACTCAGATAAGAAAACTGAGGCTCACAGAAGTTAAGTAATAGCTCAAAGGCAAACAGCTATAACAAAGCTAGTAGGTTGCAGAGACGAAGTTCCAGCATAAATCCGATGCCCAAACTTCTATCCCCCTTCTCCACTCTGCTTCCTAATTGGAGTCCATGATTCCTCCTATTTGAGCTCAAGTAGAGTGATACTATTATATTTTTACCCTGAAATGTTTCTCTTTTTCAGGTGAGAGAACTTGAAATGTTTCACCTGAACATTTCTCTCCAAACATGTTAACTTTTTTTTTCCCCCTGTAACCTTTAGCAATATAAGACACAAGTGATCTTCACTATGATCATTTAACAGACTTCAATTACTTTTATTTCCCTTTTATTCTACATTTACAAAACCCTCAGTGGTTGCCTTATTGTACTTTCAGAACTTCTAATTGGTTTTAGGCTCCTTCCTCTTACTTTCTAAGTTTATTTTGCGGAACTAGACTTGTGGGAGCCGCTCTGTAGAGTGCGGAGTTCTCAAACTTCACAGCACCCTCTAGGCATTCCTGGGGGCCATTCATATTAGAGAGTAAGTTTATCTCAAATAACCATTTTATGTCCTTGCAATGACCACGTGTCACAGTCACATCCTACAGATTAAGTTCACTAGCAAAATAAACTCAGTAACATTGGTTCCCAACCCAAGGATCACAGGCCAGTGTGGTGGGGACAGGTTGTTATTAGGTGCCTTTGAGTTGGTTCTGACTCATAGTGCCCTATGTACAACAGAACAAAACACTGTCCGGTTCTGCGCCATCCTCATGATCGTTGTTATGCCTGAGCCTACTGTGGCAGCCACTTTGTCAATCCATTCCGTTGAGAGTCTTCCTCTTTTTCACTGACCCTCCACTTTACCAAGCATGATGTTCTTCTCCAGAGACTGGTCCCTCCTGAGCACGTCCAAAGTATGTGAGAAGAAGTCTCATCATTCTCGCTTCTAGGAAGCATTCTGGCTGTACTTCTAAGACAGATTTGTTCATCCTTTTGGCAGTCCATGGTATATTCAATATTCTTCACCAACACAACAACTCAAAGGCATCAGTTCTTCTTTGGTCTTCTTTATTCATTATGCAGCTTTCACATGCATATAAGGCAACTGAAAACCCCATGGCTTGGGTCAAGTGCACCTTAATCCTCAAAGTGACATCTTTGCTTTTTAACACTTTAAAGAGGTCTTTTGCAGCAGATTTGCCCAATGCAATGCATCTTTTGATTTCTTGACTGCTGCTTCCATGGGCGTTGATTGTGGATCCAATTAAAATGAAATCCTTGATAGGTTAGGCGCATGGAATTATTACAAGAGGTTCATGAATTTACATGTTTACTCAATCCATAGAATCTAAACCTGGCATGCCGGGTTTCATAAAATGCTTGACATGAAAATGAGGTCTTTATATTAAAAAATATTGGGATCCTCATAAGTCTCTGATGCAGCTGAATTCATATCTGGCGTGAAACATCATGAAGGAAAGAAATAAACGACTATGCTTAAAGAATTACAAGTTAACAAGCCATAAGAAAATAACACGTTGCTAAGAATTCCTAAAAGATCCACGTAAATGAGAAAGAGAACAAAAATCAACAAGAGGGACTAGGGAAGAGGACAGAAAGATGAAAAGGGAAGGAAAGGAGGGCAGAAGACAAGAGTGAAATAGATAAATTTGGGCAGATTTCAGCTAAGTTTCAGTAAAATTCAAATGAGCTTCAATGTCCAGTTCTTCCGAGAATCCATCCATTGTTAATGCTGTGACGAGCAAAAATTCATCAATGTCACTCGCAGATCCAGGTGACTTTAGGTCCTACAACTAGATGCAATTTGATTGTTGACCTAGATTCAGAAGGGAATCATTCACAAGGATGTTCAGCTTCAAAGCATAAAGGATCTCAGTGTTTGGGAACATGTGTGTATTTCCCCGTGTACCACTAGAAGTCTGCATGATGCTTAGAGGTGAAGGTTATCATTCCACAATATTCTATTTTATTTTCTTAATAAAAACCTTCTTCCACTACAAATAATGAAGACTTACTGAAAGGCCATGACATTTAAGCCAGGCTATATATTTTCTAGAAAAATATTTAAATGGCAAGGCCCTTGCATACCTGTAGGATACGTGTAATATGTTTTAAAAGTGCTTTTTTTTTTTTTTTCCAGTACTGTATTTGAGAAGACCTTTCTACTCTGAGACTGTGGCTGCTGAAACTCTACACAAACACCTGGAAGAAAAGTAAGAGATGCACTCAATCACCTGGGAATTCTCTCTGCAAGAAGCGAAACAGCTGCAAGCTTGGCATCGTGGAAATATTCAGATGCAGAAGCCCACCAGAGAGCCACAGACACTGGGAACTTTGCAACGTTCTGGATGTGTAGATGTCACACAGACAAGAGGGTTGAGTCATATTTCTGTATGTTAATGGTCTCTCCATTCTCCTGTGACCATTGAGTAACGCCTATTCTAAGGTCAGAAACGAAGGTTTAGGACACAGTTTATGTGAAACCCATTTGGCCATCATTTCAGTTATTTAGCAGAAGGTGAATACTCCTTAAGCCCCTAGTCAAAGTGTCTCGACCTTGGCACAATTGACATTTTGTTATGGGGGCTGTCCTGTGCATTGTAGGATGGCTAGCAGCATCCCTGGCCTCTACCCACTAGACACTAGCGGTATCATTCCCTGCCCAGTCGTGACAATCAAAACTGTCTCCAAACATGGCCAAATGTTTCCCAGGGGAATGATCATCCAGAGTTGAGAACTACTTCCCTAGGTGGTTCTGGGGTGCCAACTGCAACAGAAAAGCTGATTCCGTGAGAAAGTTCAATTTTGGTCCCTGACAACCACTGTTGCAAATGGAAGACATAGCATAGAGTAGTAAAACAAAAGTTGATTAGAAATCATGAGGTTTCGGCCCCTCTGCTACTCACTAACTCTAAGAAGTCATGCATAAGAAAAGTTGTTTAAACACCCACTGTAAAACTGTAACCCCTCCCCCGCAAAGCCCAGCAGCTGCAGTCCTCTTATCCTGAAACATTTTTTCATTTTCTAAAACATCAATCATGTAAAACATACTATTTAATTTACTCATGGACTATCTATGATCCAAGAAGACAGGAATCTTTGGTCCACTGATATATCCCAAAGTCCCTCTAGAGTACCTAAAACATAGCAAATGCTCAATAAATATTCGTTCAACTGAATAAATTTCTTGCTGTTTTGTGCCACTGAGTTAATCCTGACTCATAGAACTGCCCCATAGGGTTTCCTAAACTGTAATATTTTCGGGAGCAGATTGCCAGGTCTTTCTCCCCTGGAGTCACTGGTGGGTTTGAACCTCTGACCTTTCGATTAGCAGTCAAGTGCTTAACCATTGTATCACCAGGGCTCCTGCGATCTCTAAGCAAGAATAAGTCACTATTTCCCAAGCTAAGTTGACCACTAAAGCTGTTTTTCTCCCCAACGTTATTAACATCATGATATTTCACACATTTTACAAAATGCTAAGCTGGATAACCCTCCCATGTTCTTTCTAACCCTGACTTACTCTGGATTCTTGGACTATTGTTAGACTTTATCAGAGTAGAAAGATGGCATTGATAAATGAGCATTCTACAATAAATCGTGGTTTCTTAACAAATACGTAGCCCTGGTGGTGCAGTGTTCAGCTGCTAACCATAAAGTCAGCAGTTCGAATCCACCAGCTACTCCTTGGAAACTCTGTGGGGTAGTTCTACCCTGTCCGTAGGGTCGCTACGAGTTGGAATCGACTCAACGGCAATGGATTTGGTTTGTGTGTGTGTGGTTATTTTCTAAGGCAGGGGTCCTAATCATTTGGGAAAGTTTAAAACAGTGTTGATCATCACAACTGAAGGGGGGTTGCTATTGGCATTGAGTGGGTAGAGACCAGAGATGCGGCTAAACATCTAGCAATGCACAGGACAGCCTCCTACAACCAAAAACACCAACAGCACTGAGGTTGAGAAACTGTTCTTGATTCAGAAATATATACTTTTGGTATTTTATTTAGTGACTACTTATTTCATTTACATGAAGGAACTATGAACTGAAAGTAACATCTGAGGTTAAAACTAGTTTGGGGTTTGGGACATTAATCCACGTTAACAAGGGCCTCTGAAAAAAGATACTTAGCCTCTCTCTGCCTCCAGTTCCTCGTTTCCCGAAGGGTAATAATGATGAGTCTGTATTTCAAAGGGGTTAAATGAACCTTAATGAGTGCTCATT